ACAAAAATTACATCTGGTTAGTTTGTGGTTTCCCGAGAATGTATAAAGAAACTTTAAATGTTAAATTGCATTGATAAGTGACTCATTCTCACACTCACAGTTAATACAAACACCTAAATTCAATCAACATCCTGTAAAAGAGAAAAGAAAAAAGGTTTTAAAAAATAATATTCTCTATATGGAAGACATAGGTACCAGTAAAGCAGCAGAGAATTAGTAGTAGTAACAGCAGTTATGATAATAACAATAACAATAATAAAGATGATTTATTATTTCTTTCACTAGTACAGTGGATTTCACTGGTGATGGACAGATGTGACTTAATATAACAAAGCCCCTTAGTCATAATATTTCCTATCAAGTCAAAAAATACATCAAAATAGTGTGCCTGTGTGTAAATGAACAGCGACCTACTTATTCCATTTCCGATTTCATAATGACAGTCCCATCAGATGCGTCCGGCTTCCTTGAGCTTGGTCACAAGGCCCTCTACGTCGTCCACCTTGATTCCTGCCTCTCTCACAGGGGGGTCAAGCACCTCAACTACTTCCAGGTGAGGCGTTACATCCACACTAAGGTCGCCTGGTTTCATCTTTTGAATCTTCTTCTTCTTGGCTTTCTGCAATGCCACAGGATGAATGCAATTACAACTTTACAGATAGAGTGCAGATAGTCAACAAGGTAAAGAAAAGGTTAATTTAACGCAAGATATAATTTTTGCTTTAACTATAACAGCTCTTGGTAATATATTAGGAGGAGGAGAAAGAGGAAGATGAGGAGGAGAAAGAAGAAGATGAAGAGGAGAAAGAGGAAGGAGAGGAGAATAGGTGGTAGAGGTAGAGGAGAGAGGAGGAAAGAGAGGAGGAAGTGAAAAGGGAAAAGAGAAAGAAAAAGTAGTAGAGCAAAAAAACAAATAAAAATCTACAGTTCTGCCAATAATTCTGCCAACAATCACAATGATCCACCTACCATAATGTTAGGGAGTGTGGCATAACGAGGTTCGTTAAGTCGCAAATCAGCAGAAACAACGGCAGGGAGCTTCACCTTGATGGACTCCAACCCGCCATCAATTTCTCGAGTCACCTCCAACTCACCATCTGTTTTCTTTATCTATAACAAGTTTAAGAAAGTATACGGTCACTAACTACTCCTTAGTGGTCTCTCTAGGTTTAATTTAATCAGATTCCTAATTCATCCTTTAATAACAACAATGTTCTTAATTATCAATTAATATTCTTCCTCACTGGATGTCCTGATATGATATATTTATAAAAAGAATTCTACTTTACTAAAGGAAACTTTCCAAACTTTGGCTCATGAAAAAATAAAATTAAAAATTATAATACTAATACCAGGAAAAATTACGATGACTTTCCAGCATAACTAAAATCAATTTCTTTGGTGAAAATAACTCCTTCTAAAGTTATAGCCAGAATCTAATATTTACTGGAACAAATACTGTGGTCAGGAGAGCCACGAGTAAAGTTCCTAAAACATCCTGCCCTTTCTATTAGGCATTCCAGGCCACTCCTGAGAAAAAGCCCAGGCAAAGCTAGACTTCGGAAATCTAACCAAACTGAACCGAACTATTGGGCATTAGGACTCACTTCAGAAGCAAACGTTGCCTGGGGCCAGTTGAGGAGAGACGCCGTCATCTGAGCTGTGGCATTGGTGTCGTCATCGATGGCCTGCTTGCCTACAATCAGCAGATCTCCTCCTTCCTTCTCCACAAGCTTTGCCAAGATCTTGGACACATGGAGGGGCTCCAGCTTCTCCATCTCCTTGGCTGGGACTTCCACGTGAATGCCACGGTCAGCTCCCATAGCCAAGGCAGTCCTGATGGTCTCCTGCAAAATAATGAAAAATGTAAAATGAATAATTAGAATAGACAGACTGGTAGACTCACTCACTCTCTCTCAGGAGAGGTACCTTCAAACCAATAATCAAAAGGAAAACGCATAACACAAATCAGTTTCCATTTCGCTTCCATCTCACCTGTGCTTGTGCAGGCCCACATGAGACAGCAATAACCTCCTTGGCGATCTTCTTCTCCTTCAGACGGACTGCTTCTTCAATAGCAATCTCGTCAAAAGGGTTCATCGAGTGCTTGACGCCATCAGTCACCACACCCAACTTGTCAGGGCGGACACGAATCTGAAATTATTAAATTTGGCTTATAAGTTGAAATTTGAGTTGAAAACAAGTACAGAGTCCACAGAATATAACAATTTCACTTTTGTTTTTCTTTTTTTACATTATATATTTTGATGATAGAGTTATATTTGTAAAATAGTTCATACATTACAATAACAAGATAAAAACAAATTACTGATCTTTTAATTATTATATCTATGTATATCTATCTCTCTATACATCTTGTGGGCCTTAATCCATAAGCTGCAAGCCAAAATGTGCCCCTGGCCTGGTGTCACTACTGCAGAAACTGCCCCAAATAGTTACCAAACATTGTACATAGCAATAAAGCTCAGTTTTGAACACTGTAAGGTACTTGTACTTCAGATTCTGAAGACTATGAAGTACTTACAATGCAGATTCTAACAAGACCCTGTACTACATCAAAACCACAATTAATTTGCACAGTGATAGTAGCTCATGTGTGTCATTGGCAGACCACTTGTTAAAAAAAGGAATACCTCGCTGCATTTCTTCTCCTTCTGTCTTTTTCATGCTTATTATGCCACCCTTCAAGCTTCTAGAAAATGTTAAGCCTGATACAGAAGAAGAGAAAGATTAAGGAAATGCTGAGAAAAGACAAAATTTGGCAAAAGCTACTTGCAACAGAGGAAAAGAAGGATTGTGGAAATAAAAAGAAAAAATAGGAAGTAAACAAAAAAGTTTGCATTTGTAACGTTGAATTTCATTCTGTGGTTACTATGATCATTAATATTGATACTCAGGCTTGGCTAACAGTTTAGAAAACTTCCCACAAATTAAATTATTTTATCTGGAACCATCATCAATTTTCATTCTCTAATACACTAAATATTTTCTTATTTATTTATCAGACAAGGTCACTTTCTATTATCATACCTAGATGGAGGATGTATTAATGTACTGCACTCATGCAGTTTCTTATATAGACAAGGAAAATAGGTGTTATTGTTTTTTATAAAAATAATATAGATACAACTGGAAGAATGTGAACTAATTATGCATAAATTGCATTAATTTGATAACTGATTAATCCCCAACAACTTTCATAGCAGGCTTTTCTTTTTCTTTTAGCCAAGACAGGAATCAAGCCTCAACTTGGGAGTCATTTCAGTGGCTATTCATAGAAAACTAACATTTCATAAGAGGTACCCCAGTTTTCACAAATTCCTCACATTTGCACCAATCAAGTTTTTCTTAGTTATAAAAGAGAATACGTAATTTAACCTGTGGTGGTTAAATCCATCTCTTAACATGAATGAGGCTTATTCTTCTCAAGAGCATTAAAAAATCACCAATTAGAAGTTTATTTATTAGATATTCTTAAAAGATCACTTGGCAGTGTGCCACTATAAGGATGGACCTCTGATTGTTGGCCACCTAACACAGATGGCAGCAAGTAAATCTGGATAGATCGCTGCCAATATCATGTGATAGTCGAACTGTGAGAGCAGAGCAAATGTCTTCTAAATGTCTACCTTAAGTTTTATCACTCATACTGACATTCAATCTGCATCTGCTTAAAACTTGATGTGATCTGTGCTGGAAGGCCGGGCAATCCTATTAGATAAGAGATGCAACAGTAGTCCAGCAAAGACCAATAAGTTTCCACCATATGTAATCCTGCAGAATGGAGTGTGACCTGGTTCTGTACTTGGCCATAAAACAACAGTTAGGAAGCTCTACATGCTAGGCACTGCCAGATCATTGACGGGTGTAGTAGCTGCAAAGGCATTTTCTGAAGATTCACTTCACCTAATAATCATGAAGACATTATCATTAACAATCATTATATCATAAAATTTTGGAAAGTTATTTTTTCCTCAATATAATCCTTTCAGTATTTATTACCAAGGGTCAGGCACCCTCCAGAGCCAGAGTCCCAAAATCAGGGTATCATGTGAACCCAAAAATCAAAACCTAAGCTTTCCTACCTTCTATCTATTCCCTAGGCAGAGGGAGGAAGCCCCCTGTGCCCCCCTTTATTAGAACTTTGTGCCAACTTGTAGAAAATGAACATTAAGGAACTCTGGCTGTGCGAGGGTCATATGCAGCGGATATTTTCATCATTTTCTGGTAAAGTTGAGGCCGCAGCAGCTGTATCTGGCTCCTTGACTACTTCTAATGCTCCATATCATGGGAGTATCCATTTCTCTCTAGCTCTATACAACAATCTATATTTATATGCAATAATCCAGACAATATGCTTTTTATCACAAAACTAATACAGCAAACAGCAGCAATTTCAATTGTGTCATAAACCAAGAAAATATTCTGCGTGACCTTCAATTCTAGACCAAGACAGTAAAACGCAGATACAACTTCTGGTCCAATTTCATTTTTTATCCTACTGCATCGCAAACGGCAACCTTCAACAAACACTGATAGATTAATAAATTCCAGACACTCTTTATGTACATCATGTCTAAAGTTAAAGGAAAATCTACCAAATTTTTTGACAGACCTCCTTGCCAGTTTATCAATATATAAGGAACGAGTCTAAGCTCCATTTTGCCAGAGTATAAATGGTCGACCTTTATTGGAGAGCCAAAGGTGCAGCGGCCAAGACGATCACTCGACACCACCAAGTATGGCTTTAGACGTTAAGGATTTCATAATACAGAGAATTGTGAATTAATAAATATAATTCAATAAACTTCATTACCATGAAATGAAAATCATCTAATAGGAAAAGAAAACAATCTTTTTTTTTATTATCCGAATACATAACGAACATGACACACAAAAAAGTATCTTTCAGCCGGTTTGTTAGAACTGTGCCAGGCTCGACCCAATGAATTTACATAAGTTCAGACGCAGAAATAGAG